CGACTGGCTCCATCTGCCCCAGACACCCGCGCTACAGGACGTTCCAGTAAACGACAGGCTATACACGAGAGTGAGGGCAGGCAGCAAAGAGGAAATACGGTGCCGAACATTTGTTATTCTTGAGTAATTCGTGAATTATTTTCATGGAGTGTGAAGTCTAAAACGTTTTATCGTACTTCTAATATAATTTTCTGAACAAAATAACTTGTGGTATTTTAATGCGCGAAAGGGGACATTGCACATTACGTTGTTGAACATTCGTAAACTCAGATTCACTTTCCTTTATATCGCACTAAACATTTAAAATACACAAAATTACTCACGATACGCTTCCAATCGCTCATCCGGAATAAGACGTTATACTCCCGGGGCGTGCGTGGTCGCGTGTCTCAGCGCACCAGGGGCGAGGCCGTGCCAACGGGATCGCCGGCGAGCCCGCGACATCGCAGAACCTGCCCTACCTCGCGCCGCGCCGCGTCGCGCCGGCGACCGGCCCAGACGAACCGGCCCGGCGGCGGCGGCGGCGCCGAGCCTTTACGACGCCGTCTGGCTCCTGAGCCGTTGGGCGACGGCGGCGGGCCGTCTTTCGTAAAGCACCGCCGCCGTCGCCCCTCTCCTGGAAGAAAGCCGTGCTCGCTTTAACGCGATAATTGCGTTGCTTGGACTGGGCGCGATATCCGCCATTTATCTCCGACTTACTGTGCATTAATTGCGGGAGGTGCATTAAACATTGTTACTTGATGAAACTACGAAGGCAGGAAAGGTAGAATAGAAGGCGCACTTTTCATATTAAGATATACCAAGGGTTGTAGTAATATTATGTTACTGTGTACTTCACTTCATTGACAATTGCTGCTTCGTGACAAGCCGTGGATAACGATCATTTGATTTCACGCCTGTTTGGCGTTCATGATTCGCGGTTTTCGCACAAATGCCTTGGTGTTTCACAAATGCCATAACTCGTCTTGTGGTGTGTCTCTACTCTGCGTATAATTCAGTCTTGTCAGAGGCTGGCTATTATGTTGTTGTACAAACAATAATTACATACATTTTTCGTGTACAAGTTTTGTTCGTTAGTCTGGCTCATTAATACATTTTGTTTTTACACTTGATCATTTTCATATAGAATTGAATTACGTCATGACATTTACATTAATACATTCCAACTCTTACAACTTTATACGTGTATTTTCTTGTTTCGCATTCCTTTTGGACCTTTCTCCTCCTAAGCCACTGTAGTAAGTCTCTGCATGAGAAAGAATTGATATGCAACTTGAGCGCGTGTGTAGGACGGAACTAATGGCAAAGGCATCGTCCATGACCTTAATTTTAAGGAGCCGGTCCAATATTTGCGAGATGGGGGGACCGGGTGAAACTCTTAAGCGAAACCAGTTGGTTCCAGTTTCCAATTGGAGCGAATTTGGACGCGCTTCGCGGTTTATCCAAATTTTCTTCACGGCCGCTGCACACATATTACCTTGTGCGTGAAATCTGCAAACCACTCGTTTTACAGCAATCATGACGATGGATTTTTTAAAAATGAAATTTTAATTATTTGTCCTATCTATCAATACTTTTAAGGGTCCATCAAGAATGCTTTCGTTCGCGAAATAAAATCCTGCAATCACGTATCTTAAAATAATTACTTTATATGCCGGATCCGTCCGGAATCCTCAGAGTTCACCGAGACCTACTAAAGCGACGCTTTGCGTAAAATCAAGAGCAGTGACCATGAATGGACTCGCACTTTGCCGCGAAACCAGAGCCTTGCAGAAACAGGCACCGGACGTCATGAGTCAGCACGGACAGGTTCTCACGAGGCGTGCCGGGGCATTCACGTTCGTCTTTCGAATCAAGACTGGTGCCTCGAGGGCGGGGCGGGGGCGGAAGCCGGCAGAGGGAGGCTGCACTCGGAGATTTCAATTGCGCTCGGGACGAATGAAGTGAAGTGAACGACGTAACGTGCTTTGTGCAGCAAGCGGAGCAGAGTCACCGCCTCGGAGGCGAAGTTGTTTTTCAACGCCGCACTTCCTCGCGGAGCGGTCACTGCCGTCTGCAACGGGGGTGATCGAAATGCAGAGGAACACTGAATGAGAGCGAGATTATTGGGGTTGTAAAGGAACGTGTAGGGTTATGAGGCACCACGCGAGTCCGCTCACGCTATCTTGATTGCGCTCGTTTAACTTTTCGTTCTACTGAGTGATCATAAAGGTATCGGTAATAAGGAAAATGCCTCTGTAATTTTGCAAAATGACATCTTCAAGAAATAGAATTGGATGTTTGTCGTGATTTCTAAAAGCAAACCCCCAAATACAACTCTTCGATTTTCACTCAATGAACGATTACGCAGTAAACTTGCTCTGAGGAGATTTGTCGATTCCGTTGCCAGCCCATATTTAATTTCGTTACGTTTGTTTGGTAGTAGCAAATACAGAGGCGGAGTGAGTTTGTTCTCATTTTACTTACGTTAAAATTATGAAGCTAATTACATTCCCTATCCCTGAGTGCCCCCCTGCCCTCCCCGCAAAGCGCATCTCTTCGAGTCTGTCCTCTTCCTCGGGCTCGGTGGACGGTGCTCGGCGCCTATTCGCGGAGGCGGGACGCGAGCCCGCGCGGCGCGGAGCGGTGCGGAGCGGTGCGGCTCGGGCAGTTTGTCGGTCAATGCAAACGTGTGCCGAGCGGCAGATGACGAAACGCCTCTCTGCCACCGCGCACCCGCCCGCGCCGCACCGCGCCGCACCGTCCCGGCTTACCCTCCGGTTCTCCGTGTCGCCGCCAGGGGCGCGTGGTTCCCTGCGTGCTCGAACGCATCGCACAAAGATATCTGGGAGGGTGGGATGCCGAAGCTTCTTTACACCGACAGTGGATCCAACACCCAATGCTAGTTTTTCGCATAGCAAAAATTGTAGAAAGTATTTTTTTTTGACCGAACTTCACTAATTTTGAACTAGTAATTTCTACATTAATTTGAATCAGTAATATTTTTTGGTATATGGCTTTTGAACATCTGCCCTAATGCCGCACACATCGAGGTGTTGATATTTCACACGCTAGGGAATAATAACTCAAAAAATTTAATAAAAATATTGATTCTTCATTTCATTATCTGTCTATTTATTGTAACTATTTCATTATTATTCTTCGGTAATGATCATTATTTCGTAATTATTATCAGCTTGTTATGGTTTTCTGAAATTACTTTCATATTATATTGTAATCGCCTTCAAAACCCTTCACGTGGCGCCAATCTTTATATAAAAACTCAATATTTCGCTCATCCGTGCGGCGTCTCCGCCTCGTAGTCTCAGTGTAGCGTTGCCAAGTCGGGCGCGCGCGCCCAATTCCGAAACCGCTCGGTGCCTGCTCAGCCCTTCGTTCCCGGCGCGTGCGCGGCGGCCGGCCGGCGTTGCTCCATCATGCCTTGCAGGTCAGGGCCGTGCGGCCGGAGGGGGGGGGAATCCGGAAACGGCGGCGCCCCACATACTTCGCTCGATTTTGCAGGGGCATTAGAATGGCGAGAGACGTTTGGGAGGCTTTGAGGAGACAGTTTTTGATGTTGTAATGAGCTGTAGAAAGGGCAGCTTAGGAAAGAGGAATGTTAAAAGCTTGCCAAATAACCCTTGGAATATATTCGTTTTTTACTTTCACTTCGTTTCTGTCGAGTTTCGCTTTCCAGAAGAGGGAAACAAAGATGTATTGGTTATACCGCACGTGTATTGAACGGTTCAAAAGTTTACTTACAAACGTTCCTTTTGTGCTTTCATTTCTTCTAATTATTGACACTCAATTAAAAACATTCGAATCATATTTGGATCTGTCGTGCGTAATCATGTTTGGGTGGCAAGAAATGAGATAATAGTTCAAAGTGTGTGAAACTTGCATGTACAAAACATGCATTCGGCGAGCACGCGAAGCAAATGCCGGACGTTGCACATGCTGTGTGTGTGTGTGTGTGTGTGTGTGTGTGTGTGGAGGGCGGCTGATCGAGCGGGGCGTGTGGTGTGGTGTGCGCAGGAGTCATCAACAGCGACGGCCGCCTGTGGAAGGAGCAGCGCCGCTTCCTGCACGAGCGCCTGCGCCACTTCGGCATGCGCTACATCGGCGCCGGCAAGGAGCACATGGAGACGCGCATCATGGTGAGTGAGCAAGCGAGAGCCTCGCCTCGCCTGCACTTGCGCTGCGCTGCGCTCGGAGCATGCCTCCGGCCCCGTTCCAAACGGCCGACGGTACAGTAAAAGTTACAACCGAACTTAGCGTAAAAGTAAAAGGAGGCTATCAATCAGCATAAGTAATAGAACGCATAAGAATAGTTAAGAAAGTTTAACTCTTTTCATTGCAGTTTTGAAACATTTCTAATTATGTTACTAGAAATAGACAACATATGTTTCCCATTAGAACTCTTCCAGTTAAAGAGAAAAACACAACTTTCTTTACCATCCCCTCATTTGGCAGTGCAGTACAGGGTTTCTGTTCTAGAACAGAATGGGACTGCTCTTAACCGATGGCATGCCCACAGAATTAAAAAAGTAAGGGATGGTAACAATTTTTCTGAATGTTTCTGTTCCCGTAGCAGAGCAGGTATCGTCTCCCGGGTAGTGCAGGGTGCCGTTGTTCGGGTCCCCTCTTCACCGTCGGTTAGTTCGTGGCACCTGCGCGGCCGACTGACCTACCGCAGTAGGCCGAAGATCGCTAATCGAGCTGTCGTTAGCGATGAGATAAACGCGTTTATTTCCACATGTCTCTATAAGGGGCAGCTATCGGGTCAAACACTACAGTCGAAAACCAGCATATTTCTCTCAAAAATAAATTACTCGAATGAAACATTTATTTAATTTTTTTAAATATTTCCGTTCGTTTAAAATTATTTTTAACCTTTCGTTTTCCAGATATTCAATAAAATAAATTCTAGAACCAGGACGACAGTAAACGTAATCATATGGTACACGCTAAGACCCTTCCGCTCAAACTATTTTAATTCAGTGTGTAGCAGCTCATGTGCGTGTCTAACTGGGAGTTCCGCACCCTTGCTTCGCAGAGTGAAGTGGAGAGCGTGCTGCGAACGCTCAACCGCTCCCGCGGGCAGCCCACCGACCTCAACCCGGTGCTGGGCATGGCCGTGTCCAACGTCATCTGCGACATCCTCATGTCGGTGCGCTTCGGGCGCGAGGACGCCAAGTTCCGGCGCTTCACCAGCCTCATCGACGAGGGCTTCCGCCTGTTCGGCCGCCTCAACTGGGTCAACTTCGTGCCCGCCCTGCGCTTCCTACCCCGCCTCGCGCACACGCAGCAGAAGCTCGCCAAGGTGAGCAACGGGACACTCCTTCCCTAGGGCAGTCGTTTTGGCTCCTCAACTCTCAACAAGAAATAGTATATATATAAATCTAAATATATAAATTAAAATTATTGAAATAAATTAACAAAATTTAAACTCATTTCATTATTGAGCACTTCTCAAGTTTATCTGTTAATTTCGTATCATCGTGATTGCCCTGGGAGTCACGACCCCATATGTTGAGAAACGCTGCCCTAGAACATTTCAGCACTTATCAAAGGTTCTCCGCACCTGAACCTGGTGCAATTACGCACCTGCAACGAAGCTCTTACCAATCTACCGAGGGTTGGCGTGCCTAGAGCGCATATCCATTGCGAAGAAATTATCTGGCCATCATCTCTAATAGGATAGAGCTGCGTTAACCGCTCAAACTGTTCCTAACAGATTTATTGACATCTTTGCTAGAATAGAAAGTTAATCGACATTAGGTCTAGGCGTTTTAGGCTTTACGCATACCACATAAACTTATATTAGGAATGTGTTGAGATCATACTCGTCATTCTCAAGAAATTACATAACAGTAAGTAATACAAAACATGTTTTAGTTTACTCAACATTTTTTCTTCTTTAACTGTACTGTCGAAGAGATTCAATACAGATATAGTTGAAGGTAGTCATAGCTTTAGTGTTTTCGAGAATGAAACTACTAATATTTTTCTTCGAGCGCAAACTGAAAATTAAAATAGTATTATAATGATAACGTAAGGTTAACAAACATTTGCCGAGTAGTATTATCGTTTTCGCAATATAGGATTTTAGTTTTGGTAGTGATGTCATGATGTGGACTCAGTGGAACCGATTCCGGTGCAGTGCATGTAGAAAAGAAAAGTATCATCCCTCGCCGGCGTGGGCTCCGGGCTGTGCGAGTGGCTTTCGCCCTGGGCCGAAAGGGGCCGTGGCCCCGATAGCCCGGCAGAAGCGGCGCGTATAGCGGTAGCGGCGGCGGTCGCACTCCGGGCCACGCGCGCGTTAGCGGCGTTAGCACCGCCCCTGCGACTCGACCCT